TCTTTCTTTCTTTCTTTCTTTCTTTCTTTCTTTCTTTCTTTCTTTCTTCCTTCCTTCCTTCCTTCCTTCCTTCCTTCCTTCCTTCCTTCCTTCCTTCCTTCCTTTCCTTCCTTCCTTTCTTTCCTGTCTGTCTGTCTATCTGTCTGTCTCTTTCCATACTGAAGATTGAACTCAGGACCTTCATGCTGAGCTTTGTCCCCAGACTCTGAATTTTTTATTTTGAGACAGGATCTCACTGTGTTGCCCAGGCAGGCCTCGAATTTGCAGTCCTGTTGCTTTGGCCTCCCAAAGTGTTTGTGTGCACCCCAGCACCCAGCTGAGACCTTCCTGGGATAATTGTGTGTCTGGAATAATCTTTTGGTTCACACATTTTGGATTAATCACTGAAACACTAGATTTTTTTTTTTTGGTCAAAAAAGGAGCCTCAATGTTCATGGGTGACCGCTTTTTAAATCTTGGTAAAGGCCTGAATTCATCAGATCTACAAGTGATGCCAGCCCCTCCTTGGATTGAGAGAGAAAATTACCTGGCTTACAAGCTTCCTTTCCTGTAGTTTACCATAAATCCCCTAAATTTGTCAGCCACAGAATCATTTCTGGGGCCTCATGTCATGGTTATGCTGTACCATCCTCTATTCCGTCAGTCTCCTGAGGAGCTGAAATATGAAAAATTGGCTCTGTGGTGAAAATTGTGTCAGACAGTAAAAAAAAGAAGAGAGTTTAAAGTCCTAGAAACCAGTGTTGAAGAAAATGTCATTTAAACGAAGAGTTGTCGTGTAAACTCCTGGTTCATCTTCTGCCTGTGTATCCCTGTGTGTCTTGTCTGCCCACAGGGAGTGATGTACTGCTCGGTGATATCTTGGTCCTGCTCGGGGCGTCTCTCTATGCTGTTTCTAATGTGTGCGAGGAATACATTGTGAAGAAGCTGACCAGACTGGAATTTTTAGGAATGCTGGGCTTATTTGGGACAATTATCAGTGGCATACAGCTGTAAGATCTTAAACTTTTTCTTAGAAATAAAGTAAGCAAATCTATCATAAATGATTACTTTCTAACTATTAATGTTCTTTACTTGTTTAGTCCTAACTCATATTTGAAATTAGTAGCTTGTTAAAAATGGGTTAGAGGATTGTTAAAACACGTGGGATGTGAAGGATTTCTGGCTACGGTGTGCCAGGTAGCGTTACCAGTAAGGACTTTTCTTTTTCAATTATGTCCAGAAGAGACTGACACATTAACTTACCCAGCTTATTCAAGGGAGATCATTAGGTCAGCCGTACCTATTATAGGAGAGCACCTATAAACCAGTTAGATGCATCTTTATTGACTCCATTGGTTTTATTCTTTGGCTTTTTAAAAAGATAATTATTTTTATAATTTAAGAAAAACTCAAAAGTCAGCAGAGTTCCTTATCTTAGCTGAAGTATGACCACTAAACTGTTTATAAAATAGTGAAACTTCTTAAGTGGATATCTCTTTGGCCTCTTGTTTTAATCTTAGGTTGATTGTGGAATATAAGGATATGGCCAGCATTCACTGGAACTGGAAAATTGGTATGTAAATAAATGATCTTGTTTTTAAGTATTGTGCCTTTTTTTGTTTGTTTCTTTGTCTTTTTTGGTGGGGGGACAGGGTCTCACTATGTAGTTCAGGCTTGCCTCAAACTTGCAGCTGTCCTCCTGTGGCAGACTCCCTAGTGCTGGGATTAGAGGCCTGTGCTACCACACCCAGCAGTATTCTAAGTGACCAAAATGCACATAAAGAAACCGAAATGCACATAAAGAAACCAGCTTTCTTTGACAATGTTGATGTATCTTTGTAAAGTCATACCAGTGATGGTGGTTTACATTGAGTTTTCTCTGAGCGTTGGTACATGAATCTCCATAAAAATCTTGATCTCTATCTACAGGGTTAACTTTTTCTTTTTGCAGTGCTGGGGATGGAACAGAGGGCCTCATGTATGGTAGCCGAGTGCTCTGCCACTGAGCTACCTCCTCAGGCCTTTTTACTTCGTTTTGTCTCAAGTGTCTCAGGCTGGCCTTGAACTTCTGCTTTTCTTGCCACAGTCTCTCAAATAGATGAGGTTATAGGCATGTGTCCCTGTCACCACCCCTGGCAATTTTTCTTTCCGAGGAGGTCTGAAGACTGACCAGATTGCAATTAGATGTGTATCAAAGTCCTCAGACTCGTGAAGTTGTCGTCTTGGGGTGAAATTTGTGAAACATTAACCGAAGCATCTGATGGTTATGAAATCACCTCCCTCCTCTCAGTTCTTCTTTTATCTGATACTCCTAGGCGTCTCCACAAGTAACTAAAGCAGGAGGAAGTAAGTGTTCGGATAGCTAGGGAAGATTTGAACCTCTTTTAGTGAAGGGCAGAAGGAGGTTCACTAGAACATAAATGTCACTGAAGATTGTGTGCCGTGCCTGAGTGGGTTAATTCAATTAAATAATTTAGATTGTGTCTGGAATGAGATTAAAAAGCGGTTGCCGAGCAGACACATCCCTGTTATCACCAGCATCCACATGACCAGCACTTTCTGAAGGAGGAGCGTTACACTGTGCGGTCTTAGAGCATTTAATTTAATGCAGTGAACAAAAGACAGTGGATCTGTTATGTCCCTTTGATGTCCTAAAAATACTTTACTGTGAATCCAGTTACACAAACTGTATCTAACCAGGCCAAACAAAAGCAAACAAAAAGGTCACGAGTGGTTTTTCTTGATACATGATAGTGAGTGTGCTTTTGTTGTTTGTTTGTTTGTTTTGTTTTTTTTCTGGTACCGGGAATTGAACTCACAACCTTGCACTTGCCAGGCAGGCGCTGTGCTGCTGAGCTAAATCCCCAGCTCCTAGTGAGCTTTTATTGACCTTTTATCCCAGAATCAGCCTGTCTGGCGAAGGTGGATTGCACAGGGGATAAAGGCTATTGAGCTGCTCGCACCAGGAAAGTGCTTGTGTTGGACAGTCCTTAGGCCCTGCATGTTTAGCAGTGTCCTCTTACCTTGGATCCTATTTATGTCATGTTTTCCTACTACAGGAGAGTGCCTATAAACCAACTCGACGCACCTTTATCAACTCCCTTGGTTTTATTCTTTAAATTTGTTTTTTTTTTTTTTTGTACCGGGAATTGAACTCATGACCTCAAGCTTGCCAGGCAGGCGCTGTGCCACTGAGCTAAATTCCCAGCCCCTGATTTTATTCTTTTTTTTTGGGGGGGAGGGTTATTCTTCACAGGGTGTGGGGTCGCATTCCTATAATCCCAGCACTCGAGGAGACAGAGAGATTCCAAGTTTGACCCCAGCCTGCATGGACAACTTAGTTATTTAGCAAGACCCTGTTTGAAAATAAAACATAAAGCCGGGCGTGGTGGCGCACGCCTGTAATCCCAGCACTCGGGAGGCTGAGGCAGGAGGATTGTTGCAAGTTCAAGACCAGCCTGGGCTATAAAGTGCCAGCCTAAACTGCATAGCGAGACACTGTCTCCAAAAAAAAAGAAGAAAAGAAAACAAACATAAAAGGCACTGAGGATATAATTCAGTGTAAAGGCGCCGGGTTCAATCCCCAGTACTGCAAACCCCCAAAAACCAGATTTCATGTCATTATTTACCCTGTTGGATCTTTGACATCCTTCTTCCCCATCACAGCTTGTTATTTTATTACTGTCTTACAGCAGTGCCTTTTTGTAGTCGCATAGGATCATGTGCAGTGCTGACTGTTAAGGAGATGCTTTGTAGATAGTTGGTTAAGGATCAGGGGTTTTCTATAGCAAGCAAGCCTGAAGCCTTTTTCTCTCCCGATTTCTTCCCGCAATGTTAATGTTCCATTTTCCCGCAGCCCTGCTGTTTGTGGCGTTTGCCCTCTGTATGTTTTGCCTGTACAGCTTCATGCCGTTGGTGATGAAAGTCACGAGTGCTACTTCTGTCAACCTGGGCATCCTGACGGCTGACCTCTACAGCCTTTTCTTTGGACTCTTTCTGTTTGGCTATAAGGTAAGAAAATAGCTCATGTCCGAGAAAGGGTGCTGGCCTGGCCTAAAAGAAGATTCTATTTGCCTTCCTTCCTTCTGTCTCTCCCTCCCTCCCTTTTTCTTTTTCTCTCTTTCTTCATACAGAGTCTCTCTCAAGCTGACCTTGAACTCGTGGTGATCCTCCTGCCTCAGCCTCCCAGGTGCTGGGAATACAGGTGTGCATCACCATGCCCAAATAGGATTCTTTAAGACCCTAGATCCAAAAATAAAACCTCCTCCCCCTCCTCCTCTTAGCAAGAATTTCACTGGACAGGCCTTACTCCTTCTGTTATTGCTTCTAAGTTAGAAAATTGGCCCAAATAAAAATTGCCCTTCTAGGGTTTTTCTAAAGGGTGAAATACAGAGTATTTCATCCCAATGACCTGGCCAGGGACACTGGCTTTTGGAAGCACTTCTGCTGCCAGGTGACAAACAACCCCAGGCGCTGCTGACGTTCAGAACAGCCTGGTCTGTGTTCACTCTCTGTGAACATACAGACGGAGTCCCTAGGGCAAAGGGAGGAGGGATGGGTGTGTCATCCTGCATGCTTCCTTGGAATGGTTCACCTTGGCGGTAATTTTATATCTCGAAGGGACCTTAAAGGTCCTTCAGCCCAGTGGAATGTCAGACTTTTTCTGTCTCTACCTCTTCACGCACTCACAGTGACGGTTCTGGTTCCACGTACTATTCTCAGGGTGCAGCAGGGGTGGGGCTAAGCCAGTGCCTTGGGGAGAAGCAGAAGGGGTGCGGAGAATGGGAAAGAGCGCGCTGGAGATGGACCCACCTTCCCTGGAGAATTTCTGCTTGCCTCCTTTCATGTTGGGGGTGAAGACACGAAGTCCCAGAGAGGGCATCTGGTTTGCCCTTAGTCACAGCTGCTTGGTGGTAAAGTCAAGACCAGACCTCCCTTGCTGCCTTCGTCTTCCATCAGCTCTGTCCGCTGTCCCCTGCCCACCCTCCCCACTCCACGTTCATTATTAAAATGCCAGTGTCAGGCTCACGAATTCATCACGTTGTCTCGCTCATCAGACAGAACCCAATAAATAGATTTGGTTGTTTGTTTTTGGAGACAGGGCCTCACTGTGTAGCCCAGGCTGGTCTTAAACTTCCTGTGCAGCGCAGGTGATCTTGAATTTGAGATCTTCCTGCCTCAGCCTCCCGAGTGCTGGGATTTTTAAGTGTGTGGCACCACACCCAGGTTTTGGAGCCAGTTTGAGAACTCCCCATAGTTGTCAATCTCAGAGCCCTTTGAAATGCTTAAAAATTGACGACATTGGTTACTTACACCTATTTGTTTACCGTATTAGAAATTAAAACCAAAAAATTTAAAACTATTCATTAACTTATTAAGAAAATAATGAACTCATATTAATATAATTATTATTATGAGAAAATATTGTCCAAAGAGTGAAGGTGATTTTTACATTTAGTATGCTTTAATAGAAAAGAGCTGGAATCTCACCTCTGCTTCTTCAGCCGGCCTTGTTATTGCACGTGTCATGTGGGTATAGGAGAAATTTAACTCCCAACCTGCCAGGTGTCGGATGTTCTGAGTTCACATCCCCTGAAATCTGAAAGTGAATTCTAAAGGACAAAGGAGGTTAAGAGTAGGAAGGCTTGTTGGGAAGTAGAAATGGAATAGGAATGGGGAATAGGAATAGCTCCTGAGAGACAGAAAGGGTCCTTTCAGAAGTGGGTTGCTGCTGAGGTCGTCTCTGCAAGAATGTTTTACAGTCAAAGTTCCGGGGGGGGGGTATAGTGTGGGTCAGAATATAATCAACCAGTGAGAGTACAAGGATAGCCGCTTAACTAATACTGATCTGCAAGGGGAGTGAGGCCCATAGCAAGGGCATATCGATGACGTCACTAACCGTGGTTGATAATCTATAGCCTTAACCTTGTCTTGGTGTTAGTCTTAGTGGCCCTTGTGGATAATGGGCTATTTCTATGGGAAATCCTGAAAGGGTGGCACAATTATAGTATAATCTCAAATTTCCACTCACCCCTTCGGGAAGTATATAAACCCGGACATTGTGACTTTAACCTCAAGGTTTTGCCTTCTTCAAATGCACCTCCAGCCTCAGTTTTCATGTGTTCTCATCTTCTGCGCTGACTTTCTGGAGAGCCCAGTCCCTTTGTGACTGTATATTGATTTTTATCTAATTTATCTGCCTATAATAATGTAGCCCCTGGAACATCCACTGTACAACAAATAGCATCTCAGTATTTATTGTGAAAATGTTTTCAACCTTACAGATCCCCCTCAGCGGTCCAGGATCTCTGAACATGCAGAATCACCACCTCAGAAGTCCATGTTCCCTGGGTGTGGTGGTGCATACCTGTAATCCTAGCACTTGGAGGCTGAGGCAGGAGGACTGCCATGAGTTTGAGGCCAGACTGCACTACATAAGCAAGTTCAAGCCTGCACTACATAGCCAGACTCTGACTCAAACAAAACAAAACAAAATAAAACCAACCCCCAGAAGTCAGTCTTTACTCTGTACCTGCACTTGTTGACCTGTTTGCTCTCTTTCTCCACTGTCTTTGGAGCAAATAGTTACAGTGTTAGCTGTGACTTGATACTTTTAGTTTCAGTAGGGGAGAGCAACTATATTTCCTTGCCCTTGTAAAATTTTGTATCCAAACAGGAGTCCTTGATGCTGATTTGTACTCTTCCCAGGAACCAGCCATGAACTCATGGTGCTTATCTGAATTATTGATACATAAATCTCCCTGGCTTCTCAGAAATCGCTGCTTATGAAGCATAAACCTTTGCCTTGTAAGATTACACAGGGCAGGGACCGGCTGTTATCTTTGCAGTTCAGATTTTCCTGAACTAGGACTGAAGGAGTCTTTGTAGCTTATCGGTCCTATCAAAAAGTAAGGCATATCAAGTGAATCTGAGAAATGGTCTTGGCCCCACGCTGCCCCATCTAAGTTGGCATCAGTCTGAGGGGAGGGAGTTGCTCCCTGGTGCTGGGGCGGCATTTCACACGATCACCTAGTGACGCTGGTGTTTCTGTGCCGTGATTCTAGGAGAGTGGTCGCTGTTAGATTAAGATCTGAAATATTTGTGCTTCGGCTGCCTTTGACCTGATGTGAATAAACCCTTTTGAATGTCATTTTTTGGGCACGTGACTCTAACAGGAGCATGCAGTCTGTAAGTTCCTTTCCAGCGCTTGTGTTGGACAGTCCCTAGTCCCAGCATGTTTAGCAGTGTCCTCTTAACCTGGATCCTGTTTTATTGGTTTTTTTTGTCCAAAGCTGTTTCAAAACTTGTAGGGCAAAGAGCAGGTCTGCTGTGATCCTAAGAATAGGTTACAGAGGTGGACCAAATTCAGGACATAAGGAAGACACTTAAGATACTACCAATTTAAAACACTGTAGTGCCTGAAATAACTTTGGCTGTGATATTTTTGGAGTAGACAGTTAATGCTCCTCTGTGTCAGACCTCGGGCACTCCTACTCCTGTGGCATTGACCTTAAGTAAATACTTTCTGAATGAAGTGGTCACTGCAAACTTCCTGTATAGACCTAGATACAAAGGATAGAATTTTAGAAAGAAAGAAAGTGTTCAGGAGACTCACCTCACTCCCTCAAAGTCTCTCTGATCTAGTAAAGGGCTCCATTCTGTAGTCGGCCTTATTGGAGTGACACACTTTTTCTTCTGAACAGTTGGAGATCACCAAACCAGACAGGGCGAGTTTCAAACAAGTTACAGAGTTCCTGCAGGTAACACTGGATACCTCATAGAAGAGCATGATGCTTTTGTAATAGGGACTTGAAAATTTAATAAGATGGGTGCAGTGGTGCGTGCTTATCATCTCAGCTTCTTGGGAGGCTGATGCAGGAGGCTCTCTTGAGTCTAAGAGTTCAAGACCAACCTGGACAATATAGCGAAATCCCAACTCAAAGAAAAAAAAATGTTTAGGGTGCCCAAAATAGCTTTAACTTCTCCTAATATTTGTTGTATCATTTTCCCCCATAAGCATTTATTAGACATCAATTAGGAGTTGTATAACTAAGTATCATGCTAAGTATTAAGGACAAGAATTGCAGCTAGTGCTAATTAACATCACACCCAGTGGTATTCCGCAGAAGCCCATGGCTGGATATGACCAGAAATCTTAATATTCATTTCACAAACCTATTTAGTTTCTTCTTCTACCTTTCAAACTGTATCTTATTACGTTTTTCATTTCTTTCTTTCCTTTTACTCTTTCTCTTTCCCTTCACCAGCCCATTCTATTACTGTTTTAATTTGTAATTCTGTTATTACACTCTTTTTATTGGTCATAATATAAAACGTAATCTATGTACATTTATTGGCTGAATAAATATCTCCTGCCCCTCTTTTTGGCTTTTTTTTTTGAGACACTGTCTCTCTGAGTAGCCCAGGCTGGCTGTGAACTCACTGTGTAGCCCAGGCTAGCCTTCAACTCACAGTGATCCTCCTGCCTCAGCCTCCTGAGTGCTGGGATTACGGGTGTGCATCACCCTGCCGGGTATGTACCACAAATTTTACCACGTAACATTTGCCTACAGAGACAAAATAATTTGTTAAATTTTAACAAAATAAAATGCATTGGTATAGCGTAGGTTGAGAGGTTATTCAGCAGATGTCACATATGTACATCCACATTTGATCTTGGTCCTGCATTCCTGTGTTTTGTAACAATATTGTAAGCCATGCCTCGGTGCTGAAATGGGCTCTCTTGGTATTGCACACTGACTTTGCATTTTCTCCACTTGGTGGGGTGGCTCGCAGGGTGGGGTACAGCTGTTTATGATCACGAAATGTCAAAGGTGGTACTTCTCCTAGGGATCCAAGCGCCCCCCGGGCTGATGCGGCAGGTGCTATTGCCAGAGCCCGTGCATGCGCTAGGGTAACATTTGCTGGTATCACGCAAAAGCGTTGGGAGTGTTAGACTCTCCTTAGCCAACTCTCAGAGGACGGGTTACGCGAAGGTGGTCCTCGGAGCGCACGTGGCGAAAGGCAGCGGCACAGATGTGCGCGCGAGGGCTCCCGGCCCCTTACCCGTTCCTCTGTCCTCCAGTTTTCAGTGCTCTACCTCGTGTCCTTCACCGTCATCATGCTGGGCTTTGTCTTGTACTGCTCCACGCCGACACGCACAGCGGCGCCCGCGGAGAGCACCAGCGTGCCCCAGGTCACCAGCATTGGCATCGACAACCTGGGGCTGAAGCTTGAGGAGAGCGGCCTCCCGGAGACCCAGTCTGCGGTGCTGTAGCCGGAGGGGCTGGCGCCCGGCGGAGCACCACCTGGGAAGAGGGCTGCGAAGGCCGAGGAGCGGGCACTGGAGGCACCCAGGGGTTAGACGCAGAGAGGAACGCTGACCCATCTACCCGAAGTGGAAATACCAGAATAAAGCAGGAGCGGAGGCCGGGAGCGTGTTTTCCCGAGTGGAGGGCACTCCGCACTGGGGTCCCAGAGGCACACAGCAGACAGCGCGCGGGGAGGTGCAGGAGGCGGGAGCCTCGGACAGGCCCTGGAAGCAGGCTGTCCAGGCCGTGCTGGGTGCTCGGGAGGGGGACAGGCCGGTGTGCTTCTGGGGAACATGTCCGCTGTCGCGAGCTTTGGGTGTGTGTCCCGCCGAGGCAGTCGTCGTCCGCAGGTCTGGAGGCCTTGAGTGCCGGTGTGGCCGGGGCACTGCATACGGCAGGGAAGACGCGGGCCGCGCCTGCGAGGTCTTGGGTGGAGGAGTGGCCACTGTGGAAATACTGCACGGGAGTGGTGTCCCCCAGGAACCCTCAGTTGTTTCCTTTTTCTCATCCCACCTGTCCTCCTCCTCCTCTTCCTCTGTCTTCTCTTTTTAAAAACAGTTCTCCTCTGTCACCCCCTGCTCCCCACTGGTCACATTCCGTCCACCGTTCCAGGCACAGCGCAGAGTCTGCTGTGCACGTCCGTGACACCGGGTTCTTGCACGTTTTCAGCCCCACGCCGTGTTCTCGCGAGATGTCCTCAGACCTGGGTAAAGGGGTGGGTGCTGTCCTTCCTAAAAAGCTCTCAAGACTCCGCTTTTATTCCTGTTGGTCTCACTTTATTAATTTCCAACTCAGAAAACTAAGTCTCATTGCAGATGATCGCATCACAGAGAAAGCTTTGTACTAGAACTGGTAAAAGAAATAAAACCCCCAAATGAACGATTTCTCAGAGAAGAGTTGTCCCAGAGCAGTAGAAGTCCCCAGTTGTTAAAAAGAGGACAGGACACTACTTCTCACCAATGTTTGTAGGGGCCAGGGATATAGCTCAGTGGCACAAGTGCTGCCTGGCAAGTACAAGGTCCTGAGTTTGATTCCCAGTACAAAAAAAAAAAAAAAAAAAAATCAACCAAATGTTTGTAATGCCACGGTATTTCTCCAGTACAAAGTGTTAATATGTACATCCTTACGGTAGTAACCACGGTATGCCATTTCAGAAGGCTCAACTTTATATGTAAATTTTTTGTAAAAATATAATAAATTGTATGTGTTCTCATGATTAAAAGACTTTACATGTATGGAAATACACTCTCTGTGTGTTTTCTTAGATTAACCAGTTCCTGTGGATATTAAATAACTTGAGGTACAAGGGGTGATCAAAATATATGGTTTAAGTTCAAAATTTTAATATAGTAAAAGACACGTTGCCAGTAATCTCTCCGAAGTACTCCCTCTTGGTCAGACATACTTACTGTTCCTGCTACTTTCTGGAGCGGTTCTGGAAGTCCTCTTTGTGACTGTCTTTATGGGCTGTGCTTAAAACAATACAGTTACTGCGGCTGCCAAGGGCCACCCGGTGAAAAGACGGACTTGTGAAAACCTAACGCTATGTCCCCATTCACCTTATGTACCAGATCTGGCACCAGGCAAATTCTGGCTCTTCCGCATAGTCAAAATGCCCATTAAAGGTAAATGTTTTAAATTGATTCGGGGCATCAAGGCAGCAACAACAATACAGCCAACGACACCAAAGAAGACTTCCAGAACTGTTTCAGAAAGTGGCAAGAGCAGTAAGAGAATTGTGTTTGAAGTAAGAGGGAGTCTTGGAGGGCACTGATAGCTATGTGTCTTTTCTTATAACGAATTTTAAAAAATTTAAACATTCACTTTTTTTTTTTTTGAGACGGAGTTTTGTGAGGTACTTCAGGCTGGCCTCGAATTTACAGCAATCCTTCCGCCTCAGCTTCCTGAGTGCTAACATTGCAGGCATGGGTTGCCGCAACCCGAAACGTTCGCCCTGTTTTTTCAGTCACACTTCATCTTCAAGATTTCTTCATAGCCAGCTTTCGAATCATGTCTCCCGTGAGACGAGGCAGACGACATTGTGAGGACGCTAAGACGAGTGAAAGTCAGAGCTTACAGGTCCTTTGGAGGGATGACTGTTTTCCAGTTCTCAGTGACCCCAATGGATTTTTTTACTACTTTTTTCAGCAGTAACTTTTCGTTCCCTCCCGCCTATTAAAGCTGGTTTTGTTATTGGTGTGTGCTTCCACTCCCCGTCCTAGCCACCTCAGAGTGTGAAAGCTTTGGTCAAAAATCTGGCCTTGTGGAGGAGACTCGGTTTGCTCGCACACTGATTATTTCTCAAGGTACCTTGTGCCCGTGTGGGGATGGGAGGAAGCTCAGGTAACAAACTGCAGTGTGTGTGTCAAGGCTGCGCTCGCGTGTCCTCCGGTGTGTGGAGCCTTCCCCGTCCTGGCTGGGGTGCACTGTCCCGGTGGCCTCCGCGGCCCTGCTCAGCTTCCTGGTAGCCCGTGGCTGAGTGCTTGTGGCCCCACTTCGCGGCTGGGCTCCTGCGGGTCACAGCGCCCCCTTTTCATCTTTTTAGCCCTGGGGTCACGTCACTTCCTAGATGTTTATTAGATAAGCTTTGCCTTTTGCTCCAGTTCAGAGCACTGAAGGTGAGACTGAACTAAAGCAAGACCTTCAGCGCAGATACATGTGGTGCCCAAGTTATCCTGCCCTGCTCGGTTCTTCCGCCCGTTTGTCTTCAACCTTGTCTTCCCCCGCCCGTTCCTCACCTGCGGATGCGAACGGAGCTCAGCCTGGGAGTCCTGAACTGAAACGCAGAAGTCCTGGTCCCAGAGGAGCAATGCAGTGAATGACAGCTGTTGAGTAATAGTACGGCAAGGCTATGCCTCCTTTGGTGTGAGTAGCTGTGGGAGGGCTGGGAGTTTAGCCATCCTTACACGCTGCTTCCGTGGAAAAATACGTTTTCAAACTTTTCACTCATACGCAAGTTTTTTTTTAAACACTATATTGTACGTAATCGAAGGTATTCATTCAAAGTACATCATTTCTTTTTTTTTGGTCTTTTTTGAGACAGGGTCTCATTGTGCAGTTCAGGCTGGCCTTGAACTCACTTATGTGGCCCAGGCTGGCCTCAAACCCACAGTGATCCTCCTGCCTCAGCCTCCCAAGTGCTGGTATTACAGGCGTGCGCCACCATGCCGGTCAGGTACAGCATTTCTGCACGTGTTGCTGGCCACATGTCATGTACCCAGTAGTCACATGTGGCTGGTGACTGCTATGTTGGATAATGCAGCTTTAACTTCAAATTAGACTGTCTGGGGGATTGTTAACATAATATAAGTAACCTTATTGCATGGACTAACGTCTTTAAGTTATCACAACATGTTAAAGCACAAGTATGTTTGATGACAACCCACTGCTTTTTAAAATAACCTTTCAGTATTTCATTACAAAATGTATTCATGAAGATAAGAAATCATCTATTTAAATACATGCTAGACCCTGAGGCTAACACCCAAGAGCATACACAAGCTTTTGAAGCAAACATATTCTTAATATTGATTTTTCAATGTTTTTTTGCACATACTCATGCCATTAAACAAAACCCTGATGAATAGTATGATGGTTAGCTACTAGATTGTTCCCTAGTGCTGTATAAATGTGCTCAATTGTGCAGCTGGACTGCAGAAGCCCTGTCAGAGGAGAGGGCTTTGCCAGTGCCATTCTCAATCCTTGTATTTTGAAATTAAGTTCTCTTTCATGGATAGGCAGTTAATATCTCTCACCTACCACCAGCCAGCCTCCTCAGATTACAGTCAGTGCTATATTTCAGTGGTCAGCAGGTGGCGCTTCAGCGATTGCAAAAATCCAAGTGACAATCTCATTTTATAGTCCATCCACACTGTCCTCTAGCATGCTTTGTTTTTAAACAGTGTATTATAGAGGCTGTATTTAAGGAGTGTATTTAAATACTGTCTTCATCAGGGATTGTCTTGGTTAACAGGTGATGTGGGTCTCAAAGGTTAAAACACCCTGGCATGCCAATTGGTAGCTAGGATGACAACAGAATTCAGAGTTTAACCTTTTGGCTTAGCCAGTATGCAGACCCAACTCTGTGAATTCCATGAAGGTCATAGTTCGTGAGGAACTGCTGAACCGGCTAATCCAGTTCTCTCATGAGAGCTGCTGGGAAGGTTTTTTGTGGAGAAACTAGCTTCATAGAGTCATTCTGCAGCTCTGGAGCTCGCCCTTTACAGAAGCTGTCTACATTTGTCTGCAGGACACCTTCTGTATGCCTAGTCACGGTTCTGTTCCCTGTCATAATTATGGCGATGTGCCATTCCATCTGCATTGGATCACTTAGTATCTGGCCATAGCCTCAGCCCTCAGAAGATACCAATAAATCAGGGAAATTCAGCAGATAGCCACTTAGCTGATTAAAAGGCAAGAGATTTATGAGCAAATTAGGTAATGCTGAAAATGCAGTTCTCTACTAGTCATATAGAGGCTGTTTTGAGAAGTCTGACGATATGTAAATGGTGTATCAGGGGAAACAGTTACCTGCCCCCTTCTGTGTGTAAACCTGTAGAATTTAATGTCCCAAAGTTTATTTTCTGAGTGCTCAAATATTCATCATACTGTTTATTCCTTGGTTTAAAATAATGCCTTCCAACAACCTTAATGGAGACATTTTTAGAGAAATAAATTTAGGTTGAAAGGGGAACAGACTTGATAGCAGTAAAAAATAAGCCATCTGAACAACTATTGGGCCAACTGACCATAAATAAGTATTGAGATGGTTCCGGGTATTCATCGCGCAATCAGCAGTCCCTGCTCACTGCTGGCCCCATGAAGAGGTCAGAGTCTGGCACAAGGTATGACTCAGAGACCACTCAGGGCTAGTAGCTAGACTTTCGCCGTTTTGTCCCACCTTTCCTGACCTTGTATGTTTTCCATCTGCCTGATGATTGCACTTTTTCATTTTATCTGACTCTTTCACACGTTTTCAGATTCGTGATCTGACTTGGGCTTTGTGCTCCTGTTGTCAGACGGGTAGGGGCCGGCAGACTTTTCCAGGTTCTTATTTGGCCCAATCAATGAATTGGGCAGGACAGTTGGTGGATGTGAAAAATTATCACTTATTTTAGGGCAGATATGAGAAAAAGGAAAAGGAGAAGAAGCACAAAAGAAGTGCTTAGGGAGAAAGGGCGCTTTGAAGAAATGAGAAGATACATCCCGTATGCAGAGTGGACCACTGCAAGAATAAGAGGGCAGTGGCCGTGAAATCAATCGCTGCCGTCCTTTCATGTCTTCTTTGAAGGTTGGTCCAGGTGGTCCTACTTGACCGCATGCTAGACTGTTGACATCCAGTGCCCGGTTCTGCTCGTTCTCACATCAGAAGTTTGGTACCGGGTGTGGGGCTTGGCGTGATCCCGTGTCGGGCTCTGGTGCTGCTTTGTGCGCCCGTGGTTAGTACATCTCCTGAATCCGTATGTTGTGCTTGTCTCCAGCCACATTTCCATGCCGCGGCCTCCTACTACAGTTCCGTACAGGACCTTATCCGCCTTGGTCTCATGGAAAGCCTGCCCCCCTTTTAGGTGGGAGAAACACATCCACATGCCATCACCCAAACAAACCCCACTGAGGTCTACCTTGTTGAGGAGTCACTGTTCTCAATAGGGCTGACGGCAGCAGCTGCAGGAAAGGGCCCCCGACTCTAGCACTCATCTCCAGGTCTTCCTGTTGAGCTCCATTTCCCCAGTTCATCGCATTGAGTGCGTATGGGAGTGGTGGCAAATCTACAGCGTGGGTGTGCTGCGGGCACAGAGCCCTCTCTGCCGGCGTGCGCCCAGCTTGCCCCAGCAGCTGAGCATCGGGTCACAGTTGTTTTTTCTAAACTAAAACCTCAGTATTCAGGTTTAATGGCAGTGTTGGCCCCTTGCAACAAATAAGTGGGTTTTGGGTTGCAGCTTGGGTGCTCAGTCTCTAAAGAGTTCGCCATCCCTGGATGAGATCTCTACTTGGACACAAGTGCCGTACTGCCCTTATTTCTTCCCTGTTGTCAAGCTGGAGGATTAGACAGCAGGGAAAGGGCCAAGGCGCGTGCCCCTCATCTGGTAACTGGAGTGTGAGACCTGCCAGAGCAGGGGGATCTGGCTCAGCTGAGAGCCAAGTGTGGCTGGAGAGTAGGGTATCCTATCCTGAGTACTCTTCAGTTATGATGTAGGAACACGGATGAAGCCCACATCTGTGTGTGTGTGTGTGTGTGTGT